TCATCTTTCCAAACGAAAAGTCAGTTTTATTGGAAAGGGTGTGGCTGGATTTCTTTGTACTTTAATATTTGCTAACAACAAGCAGTGGAGAAGTGTTGGAACCTGGCTGCTGATTTTTACAGCCAGGTATTTCTGCACATTAGACTACAGCTAATTTCTACACCTTTTTCATAATTTTGAACCTAATGGCCCAGGATCCCTAAATAAAGACCTTCTTAAGCATAGTGTATAAAGGGACAAAGCTGTGTAAAGCTTGTAATTGGAAGTCTCCATGGCAACCATCTAAACAATATCCAATGCAACCAGCTAACAGCAGCTATCTATGATTATGTGCAAACCAGGGCCCATCCATGCCTTGGCTTAATGTGGATTTTCTGCCGCTTGTGTGCCCATTGATTTATCTGTGTCTGGGAGCTTTTCACCATGTTCTGTGCTGTGGGGAATTTTTCCTTGTGAAAATCCGAAATTGCCTGATGCACAGGAAATCCAAAGACAGATTTGCACCACTTCAAGAACCAGTTTTCAAACTGTTTATGGACGGGATTCTCGAGATTTCCTATGGATCTGTGGGATCTCCTCCCTCATCTTCCTTGTCTTTCCATGCCCCCCTGCTAAAGACCATTAGAGATTCTGGTGGTGGAACAAGCCATTTCTGGCTGGCTACAGGAATTCCCACCATTTTCAAAAAAACACCCTATTTTAGAAATACGTTCTGAAAACCATGACTTTCAAGAAAGCACAACACCATTATTCTATTGCACTTTTATACCGCCTTTGGATATTTTACTTCTGGCAGAGGTTTTTCCATTGATTTCCTAGATATATATTTTTATTTCCTTCTTTTTGCTTTGAGCTCGTTCAGCTGTTTTATTGATATTGAAATTTGGCCCATGAGGCAATTTCCCCCAAATAACACCCACCTAATACACATTTGACATTGCATGTGACATCAGGTAGAGTCGTGGCTGTCAATGCACAAGTGGGAGCCTCTGTGCCCCTGTTTGTGCATTGGGCAGAGAAAGCAGGCTTTGACTCTACTGCTGTTGGGCTACAGAGCCAAAGTCCACTGAATCCTGAGCTTTTTAACTTGCTCATATCTAGAGTTAGGTGTGAGCAATGAGGTGGTCAATTTTGCTGAGGATACTAACAGACCCTCCAAGTGTCCCTATTTTCCAGGGACATCCCTGATTTAGAGAAGCCATCCCAGTTTCTGATTTGATCCCAGAATGTCCCCTTTTTCCTTAGGGGGGGCTATTGGGTTGTTGTTTTTATTTTTATTAGGTATTTTGTGGTCTTATATCTTGATTTTATTTTGTGAACTGCCCTGAGACCTCCAGGTATAGGGCGGTATATAAATTCAATAAATAATAATAATATTTTCATTGGAGAAATGTTGGAGGGTACAGAGTTATCCAATCCCCGAGCCATCCTATATAGGGAAGCTTTTAAATGTTTAATGTTTTATTATGTTTTTAAATATATGTTTGAAGCTGCCCAGAGTGGCTGGGGCAACCCAGTCAGATGGGTGGGGTATAAATAGTAAAATTATCATTATGGACTGAGACATCCCTATTTTCATCAGAGAAATTTTGGAGGGTATGTACTAAAATGTTCCGGGTTGTTAAAATGAAAAGAGGTTGCAGAGAGCTTCAAAAGGATCTCTGAAAATGGTAAATGCAATTCAGTGTAAACAAATATAAAGTGATGCATGTTAGGGGTAGGTGGGAATCTAAATTCCACATATACGCTCGTTGGGTCTGAAATAGCAGTTAGGAACATTAGGAAAGGAATTAAAAATAAAACTGCAGATATCATAATGCCATTATACAAATCAATGATGCGACCGCATTGAAATGCTGTGTGCAGTTTTGGTCCCCTCCCCTCCAAAAGGTTACTGTAGAGTTGGAAAAGGGCAAGCAAAGTGATCAGGGGATGGAGGGACTCCCTTGAGGAAAGGTTGCAGCACTTGGGACTTCTTACTTTAGAGAAAAGGCAAGAAAGAGGCGTCTCCACCCCCAGCGTTCTGCCCAGACACTGAGGTCCAGCACCGAGGGCCTTCTGGCAGTTCCCTCACTGCAAGAAGCAGAGTTTCAGGGAATCAGGCAGAGGGCCTTCTCAGCAGTGGCACCCGCCCAGTGGAACACCCTCCCACCAGATGTCAAAGAAATAAACAACTATCTGACTTTTAGAAGCCGTCTGAAGGCAGCCCTGTTTAGGGAAGCTTTTAATGACTGATGTTTTAATGTATAATCTCTTGTTGGAAGCTGCCCAGAGTGGCTGGGGAAACCCAGCCAGATGGGTGGGGTATAAGTAAATTATTATTATTATTATTATTATTTTGAAGATTATATAATTATGCAGGGCACAAACAAAGCAGATAGGCAAAAGTTCTTTTCCCTCTCTCATAACACTGTGGAACTCCCTCTCACAGAAGGCAGTGGTGGCCTCCAGCTTGAATGACTTTAAAAGAATATTGGATGAATTCATAGAAGATAAGGCTGTCAATGGCTATGTGCCACGATGGCTATGTGCTGCCTCCATGGTTGCTGCCTCTGCATACCAGTTGCTGGAAGCCACAGGAGGGGACACTTCTTGCACTCTGGTCCTGTTTGCACAGGCATCTAGTTGGCCACCATGAGAACAGGATGCTGGCCTAGATGTGCCGTTGGCCTGATTCAGCAGGGTTTTCTTATGTTCTTATGGATCAAATGGGTGTTGGAATTCCCCATGGAGAACCAATGCCTGGGCTGTGTGTGGTGCTTTGAAGTCCTGATATTGGGACTCCAAAGCACCTAATCACCTGACATCGTTGTGATGGCAGCTGAGGGGCACGTAGGTAGTCCTGCCCACTTTACAAATTGGTCCATGGCGTGTAAAGGGTTCCCCGCCCTTGGTCTATACTGATTGTTAGCAACTTTCCAGGGTTTCAGGAAGAGGTCATCTACATGGAGATGTTGGGGAACAAACCAGGACCTTCTTCATGCAAAGCAGCTGTTCTGCCACTGAGCTAGGGCTCTTCCCTAACAGGTCACACATTCAGCTGCTCACTGCCCCATGCTGAGCAATTGAGTCAAACTGATAAATTTAGTGGTGCCCTCCAGATGTTTCAGAACTGCAGCCCAAAATACCTGGAGGGAGGGCACTAGCTTTGGTGGAGGCTGCCACACATAATGATAAGTAAGGAGGGAAAGCCTGCCGTGTTTCATGGCCGGAGTGGGCACTGCAAATTCCCACATTTGATTACAGCCTTTTTTAAAAAACAAAACAGCTTTTGCATTGATAAGATTGACATTTGCAAATGAATCGAGAAACCACGTGAACAATTGGTTGCTATGTCTGCCTCATCATAATCTCCAAGGACGTTCCGTCTTCTTGTCACAGTCTTGATCTCTGAGGTTTGGCTTCCTATAAAAATTCATGGCCATCTGTGAACTAACAAGAAAGAATGGGGACCCAAAGGAAAGGGGTAGAGGCAACATCAGAGCTTAAACCTTTCTCTGCACAAATGCCAACTATTTGTTCCCTTGCCCCCACTTGGTGCATGAACATTATTTGAACATGAAGTTGGGTGTGTGTGTGTGTGTGTGTGTGTGTGTGTGTGCAATGTCACTACTGGCTCAAAATGGGGTGGAGCAAGAAGCAACACTAGATTGCAGTGGCAGAATCAAACCACCTTTTTTCTCAGGGGTCACATTCACACCTGACATTTAAAACACTGCAAGAGTTGTTAGGAGACTCTTATTCCCCTCACAGAGTTACATTTCCCAGAGTTCCCTGTGAACAGTGAATAATCGCTAAACCACACTTGAAATTGAGCTCTCTGAGGGGAATAGGGGTGTCTTCTAACAACTTTCAACCACAGCTCCCAGAATTCCTTGGGGGAAGCTATTGCAAGTTTAACGTGATAGAATACTGTTTTTAATGTATGGTGTGCATTTGGTCTGCATGTTTATGGTAGTGGGCTTCTATGTGTGTGGACCCTTGTGGGGAGAGAGAGGGAGAGAGTTGTCTGAGCTAAAAATCTTCACCCAGCAACCAAGAGTGCATGTGCTCATCCTCAGTTGGTGTAATAAATTTTAGAATGAAGACTCAGAGATAACTGATTAAGGCCACCCACCCACCATCCATTTAAAGCACTGTGATACCACTTTAAACAGTTGCAGTGGTACTATAGTGGTTTAAATACCGTATATGGTGTGGATGTGGTCTTGATGTCCCACCGTTTGGTGGTGTGTGCCTTTTCATCCCTTAACTATGCCCCTCTCCCCTCTTGCCATCTTCATCGTGGGTGAAGGAGATCCCAGCCATTTTGCTCTAGTTGATGCTTTTGAGGTTTCACTTATTCAGAGCTCTGCAGATTACAACAACCTTCCAGAGCAAATATAAGGTGCAGATTCATGTAACAATTAAGCAGTCACTGAGTCCTACCAGATGAAGTGCTCATAATACCCCAGTTTCTGAAATCACAGCTTCACTTTTTTAGGGCAGCCCATCTTTGCCCTTCTAATACCACCTTTGGTGTAACGCAAACCATTATGGTTCCATCTTCAAATTATTATTTGCTCACCACCTTGAGAAACAAAGACAAGTCTCCAAGGTGAGTGTGGTTAATAAAGCAATTTTAAAGTAGCTCAGCATATATCTGCTTGCACAGGGTCACCGTGTCCTGTTGATATTTAAACAGCAGACTCCAATTTCCTGGCCTGTCCCACAGTCTCTCCTGCTATTGTTTTTCTTTCCCAATTTCTGCAAATGTTTAGTAGCAAGTCGCTTCCAAGGCTGCAATCCCATGCAGTTACTGGTAGGATCTGCCAGTTTAGGTTCCCTAAGGTCCTCATTTTTTCAGTTGCAAATGCAGTTCCCTAAATCTCCACAGTAATTTGCAAATTCTCTCTCTTTTTTGAAATCCCTGTGAAAATTATTCATTATCATGGAAATGTAAAGTTGGAAGGGACTACGAGGGTCATCTCGGCCAACCCCCTGCAATGCAGAAACCTTTGTGTCCAGCGTGGGGCTCACACCCACGACCCTGAGATTAAATAATAATAATAATAATAATAATAATAATAATAATAATTTGTTATTTATACCCTGCCCATCTGGCTGGGTTTCCCCAGCCACTCTGGGCGGCTTCCAAAAAAATATTAAAATACATCAAACATTAAAAGCTTCCCTAAACAGGGCTGCCTTCAGTCTCATGCTCTACCAGCTGAACTATCCCAAGCATTTCAGTCCAAATTTCTCATAATAAACACATTTTTGTATATAGTGTTGACAAGCATACACATTTTTGCAAAGCAATTTCCACTAATACAATGGATTTTTGTATGCTACTTTTCACTGTGTTGGTGTATGCACTCTTTCCACTAATATATGCTTTTCTGTAAACATCGTTGGGCTGAACAAGAGCATTGCAAAATTCAGATAAGTGTGATTTTCAAAGGATGGCTGTGTTTTGGTTCTCATAGTGTTTCAGAAAGTGCCAATTCAATACATATGAACTGAAATGAATTTCTCCCCCTATCCCTAGTCAGAACCCAGGCTGGTCACAGTGGGAGCCGCTGGTTGGAAACTCACCCAGAATAACTGTTGTCTCAGTTGCTTGCTGAAACCTTATGAAAAATGATTAGATGCTCCTCAGGGTCACCTCCAACTCTACAGTTCTATGATTCTGTTAACCCCACCCCATCTGAGGGGCCACCTGCTTCTTAAAGGCCTGCGGCCTGATTCTGCAGCTGCTGGTTCCTATGGGTTGGATGTGGTGAGAACTGCATGAGAATCAGGTAAAGGCCTGAAGAGAGTTGCTGGGTTGGAGGGGGGCGTGATCAGGTCCCCTCAGGAGATGTCTCCTCTCCTCCAGACACTTTCTCGCAGCCAGACTGAGAACATGACCGACAGCATGCTCCAGACCTCTACAGGACACACCAGTCCTTGTTGATATATTCAGAATTCTGCAAAAATAAGGGGGGGGTGTAATCAGAAGGCATTATGCAAATCAAGTCAATGCATGTGTGTTTGCATAATATGTTTGGAGCATAGACATCTGATTTTTGGCACAAAGCACAACCAGCCTTGCCAACATGCATTTCCCTTTGAAACTAAATGAAAACACTCTTTTTTTTAAAAAAAGGGCATTAATATGCATATGATAGAGCATGATGAGAATGTATCTGGGTCGTCGAGTGAGAGGCTCAGCAGATCAGCTTCTTCCTCTTTTCCCAGCTTGTACACTGTTGTTGGAGGTGTTAATTTCAAGTTCAAGTTCAAGTTTATTGCGGCCAAAGCCAGTGACACTAAACACCATAAGATCAGACAACAGAAAACAGCAACAACTTTAGAAAAGAAAAAAGGTTACACAAGAGAACTTCCCAGTGTGGGTGTTAATTTCTTTAACAAGTGTCTTCCGCACACACACACTCAGTTTTGCTTCCCAAAGGGATATTTGCATATTCATAGCTAAGGGAGTATCCCCCCCCCCAAACAACAACAACAGCGGGTTTCCAAAAAGTTATTGCAAAACTTTTAGTGGAAGAGGAAACAGTGACCTGTTACATAAGAACTTACATAATTAAGATGGATTCAAAATTAATCTCTTGAGCAATGTAAGCTGGCACCTTACAATAGTAAGGCAGTGACACCAGAGGTTGCTAGGCTTGTGCACCACTCCCAATATTTTCCTTGTATCTGTAAATATAGATTTAAAAAAACCCCAAATCCATGCTGTTTCTGATTCACTCTGTGTTCTCTCTGCTGTGACCTCTGCTTTGGGTTCAGAAGAATATCAGAAGAACTTGCGGAGCCACGCCAGTTCTTGTCCTCTTCTGACGGTGGCCAACCAGCATACCCTCCAAGTGCCCCAATCTTCTAAGGATAGTCCCAGAATTACAAAAGCTCTCCCAGCTTCTGATTTGATGCCAGAATGCCCCTATTTCTCCTGCCAATGCCGCCACTGCCAAGCTCAGGGAAGAGGAGAAGGTGGTGCTTGTCCCAAGCAACGTTGGCAGTGAAGGAGCATCCTGTTGCCTCTCCATGGCCTCTCCATGGCCACTGTTGTTGGCCTCCTCCCTTGGGAAGCTTGTAGTGGCTGTTGCAGAACGGGCGAGGAGGATGAGAGGCTGCCGCTGCAGAGGCCCAGCCATGTGTGACGCACTGGCTCTGAGAGGCAGGCAGAGGGCAGGGCTGCTCTGGGCGGGGGGAAAGGGGGAGCAGAGCAGAGTGCAAGGAGTCTTGATTTAAAAATATGTGTATACTTTGTGCATCCATGTCTAATCTTGACCTTTTCTATGGCAGGATTTTAACCACACTTGTAATGTAACGGAAAGTATGGACAATTTAGCAGGATACAATTTTGGATAAGTATCCATTTGTTGTTGTTATTTAGTCGATTAGTCGTGTCCGACTCTTCATGACCCCATGGACCAGAGCATGCCAGGCACTCCTGTCTTCCACTAGCTCCCGGTGTTTTGTCAAATTCATGTTGGTAGCTTCAAGAACACTGTCCAGCCATCCCGTCCTCTGTCGTCCCCTTGTGCCCTCAATATGCAGTTGTAAATATTACCATTAGGGCCCATGGAAGGGCTGGGGGGAAGTCAGGAGATTCAGAGTCACCTCAATATGTTATTCTGATTTGTTTTTTTGTTGTATGTTTATATTTTTAAAAATCAAATTAAAAAAGTAAATAATAATAATAATCTTGACCTTTTCTAAAATTTATTGGTATGTGTTTTTCTTTTTGTAAATCTATCAAAAAATAAAATAAAATAGGGATTAAGTGGTTTTCTCAGGACAGTGGAGGATATGTGTGCCAGGTCCCATGGGAAAAGTGGTTGTGGCATTTCCCTTCTTCTGAGAGGAAATGTTATGCAGTGGGGGCGGACACAAAAATGGAGTTTCTGCCCTCCAGTATCATGCTGCTGCCCCCTGTGGCGAAATCAGCATCTGCTGCCCTTGGCAGCAGTTTCACTCTGCCTAATGACAGGGCCGGTCCTGCTGGGATGAGAGTAAGCCAGGCTGGTTCCTGGAAGAGAGCCCTTTTCAAATGCTCACAGTTTGGCTGATTCTAAAGTTTGATTGGGGAGTAATGAAATTCTATTGCCGGGCAATGAGAGACTTCTCAGAGATCAGTTAAGCCTTGCCTAAAGCGTTCGGTGCATATTCAATGTGATGGTCTCTGAGATTGTGTGATTGCTACTCTTCCAGCCCCCTCCCACACTCAACAGGGCCAGGAATTATGAGCTGGCAGATGCATTAACTCTTTCATAGGCACAAAGAGCTAAAACAAATTCTCTCCCAAAGGCTCTGCCTAAATACCAGCCTTTAGGAAACATTTGGACCTATCTATCTGCCAAGATCATCCCTGCCACATCTGTCATGTCATGTCATGACTCTGGAACACATTTAAGGGTGCACACTCTGGTCACCCAAGGCTCTGTGGCACCTCACCATTACCTGCTGTGAATGAAGGATTCTCCCTCAAACACAGCCCAAGCAATCTCCTGCAAGATGCACATTGTGGAGGGAAATTAGCAGTAGAGGTGGAGCTGCCTTTTAGAGACATTTGTCCACCATATCTCATCTTGCCATTAAAGGAACAGTGATAAACTTCTGAAGAGCCATGATACAATGTCTCTGGGGCAATTTGTATAATCTCTTCCCCTCTTCTTACTCTGGCATCCTAGGAGGACCCTAAAATGGTAAAGGTAAAGGACCTCTGACAGTTAAGTCCAGTTGCGAACGACTCTGGGGTTGTGGTGCTCATCTCGCTTTACTGGCCGAGGGAGCCGGCATTTGTCTGCAGACAGTTTTTCTGGGTTACGTGTCCAGCATGACTAAGTCACTTTTGGCAAAACCAGAGCAGCGCACGGAAATGCTGTTTACCTTCCTGCCAGAGCGGTACCTATTTATCTACTTGCACTTTGATGTGCTTTCGAACTGCTAGGTTGGCAGGAGCTGGGACCGAGCAATGGGAGCTCACCCCATCACGGGGATTTGAACCGCAGACCTTCCAATCGGCAAGCCCTAGGCTCAGTGGTTTAGACCACAGCGCCACCTGCGTCCCAGGAGGATCCTAAGGTAAGCCAAATTTGATGAGTGGACAATTTGCTACAGCTGCATCACTGCAGCTTCATCAGCTCTAAAACACTCAGGGAACCAATAGGTAACATCATGGTCCAACTTAGAGAATGGCTGGACTCTTATGAGGAAGACATCTCATTGGGGTACTGAGTTACTGCTCTGCCAGCTTCTAACCTGCATGCGCCCAACGTTTGAGGACAGTTAGCATTCTGCTTCTGTAACTTGGCTGAGAGGACCAAGGTATTGACATGAGAGTGACATAAAATTGATTACAATCTACTCCAACTTAATTAGCCAATAAGTCAGATTTAGTTAAAATACTGCACAGAACCTAGAAGTGTGGCCAAATAAACATATAAAATATTGGTTTTCTAACTTCTAACCCTATCCCTAGCTGTTAAAACTGGCAAGTGGGTTGTATCTTACATAAGACCCATAGTGTCAGATAGTAGGTTAGAAATAAATCATTCTTTCTTTCTGCCTCCCTTGTAGAAGATACACTGAAACTCCCCTATGAAGAATATTTACAGTGTTTGGGACTTTTTAGTTTTGAGAAAAGTTCAGAAACTATTTTTACGACCAACCAAGACTTCACAAAGTAGTGAGCAAGCTGCTGCATCTACTAGAACTCTTAATCAGGCGAGACTGAAGATGTTGAGAAGTCTCTAGCTTGGTATTGAAGCTACTGTAGAATGTATTTTCTGGTCAAAAATTCATTTTATTTGTAGACTCTTAGAAGGGGTGTTGCTATGGGAGTCCTCTTGAAGAGCACTCACTTTTCCAAATTCATGCCTAGCACCACTGCCTTTGCAAGGCTAACTCCTTGAAATATGCAGCATGTCACACTGAGTGCCTCCTTGTCCTACATTTATCGCTGCAGCTGGGATAGGGTGGGAAGCTATCGTGCTTTTCATAATGTCATGCATTTGTCACTAGAGGTCGAAGTGTCATCTGCAGCTTGGATTGCCTTTTACCAGCTTGGTCTGGTTTGCCACCTATGGCTGTTCCTGGCTAGGGATAGCCTGACCACTGTAGTCCATGCATTGCTAACCTCGATTACTGAAATGCGCTCTGTGTGCGGCTGCCCTTGGTTCTGGTTTAGAAGCTCCAGCTGGTGCAAAATGCAGTACTGGATGGTTGATGGCCTGGA